TCTCTGGCAGGGTTTAGCAGGCATGGTGGGGGTGGGGTGACAGCTTGACTTGATGATCTTGGAGGTTCTTTTCCAACCTATGATTCTCTGATTTTCCTTAGAGTTTCTTCTGTCGGCTGGTGATTTTGAATCACTTGTACCACCACTCACCTGCATCACACAGTTGCAAGGGAATCCATGCCTAAAGACTCCCTGAAAGCTAATCCTCGCACTGAGGTCAGACTACCTCCTTTTTCTTCAATCTAAACCAAACGCTGTTCTAAGGACAGTTCAGATACTGGAATTGACAGAAGTCTACTGAAATTAAGCAGGAGACTTTTTGGATTCTTGCATTTAACCAACTAAGAACAATGAGACAGAGCTGGTTTTATTTAAAACAGATACTTTCCACCCATATATCGCACCATCCTTCACATTTCAGTGCAGGGATCACCTTAGTGCTCCTCTCGAACATGACTTCAGATTTAAGCCATTTGTGGGGCAACACATGTGATACCACCATCATTGATAACCGCAGTACTATAACCCACACATTTAACAAAAATCTTACAACTGCTCTGTAACTCAATGGGTGATTCACACCAAGCCCAAATGCTTAATTACACGTCAAGTGGCCGTGTAAAGAAGTTGCTTTAGAAAGCTTCAGTACCCATCTGGTCAGACTAGACAAAAACCAGACACTGACTGGCAGCCTGGGGCATCAGTTACAAGAAACGTTTCTGACGATGAGACTCGCCTGCTGTTTTGGAGAGAGAATTATATGCACAAACTCCCCTCCAGAAATCAAATGGTTGTATTATAGCTATTCTAAACACAGCAACATAATATTCAGATTAAATATATGATAGGAAACAAGCTGATGCTGAGCTATTACTACACTGGTACTACACATAAGAAGTCCTATAAGCATGTTTATGTAAAAACAGTTATTTGTGTTAGCGTTTTCAAGCCTGAGATTAAAATCCAGAGAAAGATGTTTGTTTACTGAATACAGGTCATCCACAACTGCAGAAACTCACCATATTAGACTAATCCTATTATGAAAGATTAGGCCTGCAAGTACCAACAGCCTCACAAATCTTTGTTTGAACACTGGTTGCATTATATAGGGCACGAAAGGGAAGCACTATTTGGCCCACCAGTCTCTTCATGGTGAGCACTCAAACGCAAGGGAGGACTGAGAACATTTTGTTACACAACAGTCTAATCTTTTCATGATTGCAGTGTATGGGAGTTTTACCCTAATTTGAAATAGAGGCAAGATTTAACCTTTCAAGCACAGCACGGAAAGCCTTGCACGTATTCATGCATGTTTCTGTACAGAGAATAAATAGCAAGAAAATTGTACACTTTAGCACTATGTTGCTACTTGCATTAAAAATCACCAAAGACAGTTTTGAGCTCCTTTTTATATCTGCAATTCAGAGGCAACTAGAGATTGGAGCAAGCACAAACCAACTGATGCGTATTTCAAATGCGATCCTTAATCCTGCATTTGAGCCCTGCAGAAATAAAACCGAGTGCTAAAGATAGTCTCTTCAGGAAGGATATTCGCCTTCAGAAATCCAACTCCAAAAAACCCCTCACCACTTAAAAAGATCCAGCCACAAAAGTACCAGCCAACACTCAACGCAAGCCATAAACTGCCACACAGCCATCTCCAAGTGTGAGCAGCTACAGAAGGCAAAACCTTTTCCCCAGCAGCTGCAGTGCTGTCAGCTCAGAATCTCATCCTACAATTTCAGTAATTAGGTACAGCCACATAAGACACATATGAAAAAATTTAACTGCTGAACTGCCTGTTTCAGCCTTTTAATCAGAGCTAAGTCCATTCCTGTAAGCACTGCTAGAGGACAGGAAGATGGCCTGCCTGTAACATGAGGTTACGCTACCAAAGATGTGACCTCCAAGGGCCTTTCCACTTCCAAACTAAATTCACTGTTGTGCAAGCAGAGCACAGAACAGAGCTGACTGACTTTAAAATGTTTTAGTGTCATATCCTGCACATTTCTTACCTGCTAAGAAAACCCAGCAGGCATGCAGATTTACAAGGCTAATTCTCATTAGCATTATCGGAACTACAGCAAGATTAACAGATTGGGTATCAGGGAAAGTATAAAACAAAACCTACGTGGTCTTTCTGAACTACAGCTAATTTTTCAGATTCGTTTCTCACAAGCAACTCTTCCACTCTGATCCCCAGTAAACTGCTTCCCCTTCCTCACCAGAGCTAGAAAGTGTCACTTGATAACAAGACTCCGCGCAACAACGGATCCAAGGGCACTTGCTGAGGAAAAAGCTATTTTACGTAACAAATGGCTTTCTCAAGTGTATCATAATTGCTTTTTTTCTTAGGCTGAACCTTATCTATAAACTCTACCCCACGGCTCTCTCAGCAGGTCTCAAGTGAAAGAAAGAAATGCCAAATTTATCTGAAGAGTCAGCTAACAGATTAAAGCTTTAGATTCAATTTCTATCCATAGAACGTGTTCATTTACAGTTTGGAAGTTTGGGATTTTTGGTCTTATCGGTCAATATAAACATTGGTCAATTATAAATAGTAAACGGCTAGAGATCCCCACTGGTTTTTGTGGCCTGTCTTCGAACATGACCAAATTCTCGGTTGTTCTTGCTTCTGTGCTCCCTGCAGACATCAATGCTTTGGGTGAACGTACAAAAGCATTACGGCTCTACTACAGTCGACTGATGTGAATTAACACAGAGCTCTAAGACTTATCTGTCTACTCCACAAAAAACATAATGCTGAGGATTGGTCTAAATCCAAATCCAGGGCACAAAGTGGGCTGAGCTTTAGAGGGGGGCCAGATTAGAAAGATTAGCACAGTTAGCACAGCTTGGAATCCTTTTTACAAATTAGCATCACTTTCATTACATTAACACTTACCTAGCAAGCTTGCTGAGGCCAAGTACTTGTTTGTTGGGAAGATAGCCAATATGTACCTAGACAGAGGAGAACAAACTATTAACAGAATCAAAACCACACTTCCAAACGCATATGAAACTCATGCATAGAGAATGAGATGTGCATTTGCCCCAGAACTAACTCTGGAACAGTCCAGAAGTCTTAGCATGTGGGAGGAACATGCCACCATGCAAGCCTGAAAAATTGTGGAGCTAACGGAGACTGTAAATGCCTGGTGAGGTCAGTGTCCTGGTGAAGAACGGGTAAGTTTTCTGAGGGGGGAGAAAAACCACAACTCTTCAAGAGTCAAGGCTTATGTTCCAAGTCTCAGGAATGCTACAGAGTACTACTACATTTGGGTACAAAACGCAGTCTATCACTCAGCACAGCACCGCTCATCTAAAAGAAATATGCTTTTCTTTCGAGTCCTAGAATGGATTTAGGGAGGGATAGGGACTGTACTTTACTTCCAGTGAAAGTTCTGATGGCAAGAAGTACTTAGCCACCAAAATCAGGCTGCACTTACTGATTATTTTTTTTCAGCTATTGATAGCACCGTAGATCACTGTATGATTAAGTCAACTTCCATCCTGCTTGAATATGGATTTGCTGAACGTTTATACAGAACACATAGTTGCACTAAGTTGGAAAAAGTTCTTGAGAAGAAAAGTGCTCAGATACAAAGGTAAGGGGAAAGCCATTTAGCTGCTTATTTTTAGAAAGCAGCATAGGCTACTTGAATTCAAGTGGGTTTACAGCTGTAACAGATTATAAGCCAGCATTTCTGTCACTGTACCAGAGACTTGAAAAATTAGCCAAGATACAGTAGGGGAGTGTCAGTGTCGGATTCTGTCTCAGTGCTTTGCCTAGAGGCCCCATCTCAGAATCCTGTATTGCTGTACCTGCAGTTAGAGGTACCACAGCGCACCTAATTACCTGGCTAACTTGCTCATTCCTATCACTTCTGTTGGGTAATCAACCCACTGACACCTGAAAAGACATGAAACATTTCAGACAAAGTAAGAGACATAACTTAGAAATAAGCGTTGAATCCTGTTCCCCATAGAGTATTGTTGTGAATGTCCTAATTTCATTTAAGATAGAACCGCAAATACAAGGCCTACTGGTCAGTATTTGCAGCCTGTTTGATGTACCCAACAGGAGAATGGTTAGTCTGAGAATATTTAGAGGCATACCAAGTCATTTAGCAGACCATTATACGAGCAGGACCAACTCGGTGTTTGCGAGGAGATTTCTCCAAACCACACAGGCTAAACAGCTAGATGTAAAAAGAATGCATATATTGCCACAGGAGTAACGAAGAGAATATGCACAGTACGTGTAACCAAGAATAACAGGCAAAATAGAAAGCTTGCGCAGAAAAAGAAGTTACCTTGTTTTCCCGTACAAAATACTAGCAGTAAGAAAAGAAAGCAGATGAAATTGAGTTGACTCGACTAAATAAACAGCTGGTTTCTGTTTGGGTATTTTATTTTTGGGAGACAGTTTATTTGGAAGGTGTGTGGTACTGATCGAATTTTACTGACAACAAAAGCACTGTCGACTCTCTGGCCCGCGAGTACTTTAGGGTAGAACGGATGGATCAGAATAAGCTCCATCCCTCCGTGCCGATACGGGAGCGAAGGGGCTGAGACGTGCAGAAGGGACTACCTGCTGTGAACTCTCCAGCTTGTTTACAGCTGTTCACTTCAGAACTTTTATTTTATTTTTTGAAGTTGTTGGCATCACAATTTCAACACCACGTGAAACACCAGCCCCTTTCCTGGGAGTCCCTGCCTAAGCAGCCTCCTGCTAGTCAATTTTGACCACCCCACTCCTGACTGGGCTTGCTTATTAAAGACAGGGTGCTAATCAGAAGTCTGTTCCACTCACAGGGGGGTTCCCGAGATGAATGCGCACTAGATAGCTCTGAGCCAGAAGCTAAATGCGTGACACAGCCAGCGTGCAGGGTGAGCTGGTTTAATATCAAGATGTCTGCCCTCAAGGCTTGCTGCTGCTTCATGAAGAAGAGCTTTGATATGAAATGTCAGAAACCATTAGATTACTTCGACTAGGAAAGGTTGAGCATTATATTTTAGGAGCTTAAATTCAAATAAAACTCACATTAAGGAGGTCTTCCTTATTTGTATTCTGAAGATTAACTTCTAGAATCATAGCCGTAAGCATTAAATACTTATAACTTTAAAAGCTTTGTAGTTACAGCTACAAAGTATTTTACATGTATCTTAGGTCTTTTATCGTGTATTCCCACATCTATTTTGTGAGGAAGAGTTACCTTTCCAACAAATGGAACGAGGTGATGCTCACACAATGAGAACATGTCTATGTCCTTCACAATTACCATCTCATCATGATCTTCATCAAAGATGGCGTCATTCAGAACATCTGAAATTAAACATGCGCATTAAAAAAACAAAACAAAAAAACCCACACAAGCATGGAAGACTCTTCCAGCCAGTATCTGAGAAAGCTTGTAGCAAGAGCATAGCACTCTCAGAGCACAGATTTTAGGGTTAAGACATTGGAGGCAAGTCAGGAGTAACATCACAAGTATGCTTTGGTTTGCATAGGGTCACACAATTGCCACACTGCTACGTCAGACTACCTACGTGCTACACCAGAAGTCAGCCTGTGCTCTTTTATTTAAAAAGTAGTTTGAGCCCAGGTTAGAACGATTCTAGCCTGTGAGAAATTACTGACTTCTTTAGAGCAATTAAGACTACAGCTGATAAAGCCAGCGCTAAGGAGGAGAGCACGTCTCAAAGTGAGCTTCCATTAGTGCTTCCACATACCACAAGCAAAGCTGAGCCTGAGGTTTGGGAAAAGCTAAGCCATCACAGCGGTTTCTTCAAGCACTTCAACACCAGCATCGCTATCTTCAAGGAGGCTTTGCACGCAAATAAGATATTCTTGTCTTTCATCCTGAAGCACACCGGCCAGCAGCTGTTCAGGCACACAGAAAAATCAAAGAGACAGATCTATATCCACAGACTGGGGAGAGATTTGCTGTCCTGAGCGGAAAGCAGGCATGCATATGCATACTCCAGCCTCATTCTGCACCTCAGAGTTAACAGAGAATTTAGGTGGAGAAACCCACAAAGATAGAAGAAGAGACAACTCAGTAAGAAAAGGAACATATAATGTGACACTTTGCTAGTCCCAGAGCTCAGCAGACCAGATCCTCAGCTGATTTTAGCAGTCCCTTGACAAGTCCCCAGGCAATCCTGACACAGGTTACAGCAGATCACTACAGTCTCCACAAAGTTTGCAGGCAGCTGGACCATGCTTGGAGAGGTTAAGAGGAGAAAAGCTGTACAGAATAGAGAGATTAAAGGGGGAATAGCAGGAGAGAACTAGCTGTACGGAAGGGCTGGTAATCAGAACATGGAACTCTGCAAACAAGTTAGCTTGAAGCCATGCTGACTACTTGGAGTTACTTCCAGGAACCAGTCAAATAAATCAAGGCCAGGAGGGGAACCAGGGTTCTCAGGGACTGCCCTGCTTCATCCACAGTGGAACTTGGCACCTGCAGCGACAGTTACACAAATCTAATAGTTGTGTCTGCTCTACTTGCCTTTAAGCCTTCCCCTGACATGCACACACACCTAATGGCCACCATCTGTTGTCAATAACGTATCATCATCACGGACCATTTTAATTTCCTGCTTGCTATCAGCACTACACAGGTAACCCTGGAAACTGTGTGCAAGATATTCTGCCTGCGACGCACGTTCTTTGCTGAGAAGGGCTGGCAACCCACTAGACAGCGAGGCTGAACCCCAGCAGGCTTTTGCTCAGGTCAGAGAGCAGGAGTAGGGGGCATGGAAGAGGCCAGGAAACAACTCTGTAAAGGTACATAATTTTGTTCTTCAAATTTCAGAGTCTAGTTTACTCCAAACACTGCTGGAGAAGATTTTTATTACACGGGGAGCACCATGCAGTTGTGTAGCTATGAATTCAGCCAGGAATAGCCAGAAACCGAAACAAAGCAGGCTCAGAGGAGAAGGAAGGGGAGACAGAGCAGCCGTCTGGGTTCTTAGCTCCCTCCCGCAGCACTCTGCAGACGTGCCATTTCTACAGCAGAAAGGCAAACAGTGGCTTCACAAAACCTGCTACTATGCCCAACATTATTAAAACAAAATCCAAACAGATCCACGAAGCATCTCCAGAGTGACTGCTGCTGTTATTAGACCACCAGTTTGGCTCACACCAGCCTTGCCAGGAGCGGATCAGAGCCCGATGTTAGATATGGATTTACGTCAGCAAACTTGCGCAGCAGACTGTTCAGAACAATCAAGAACGGCCACATTCTCGTTAAGTCCTGGTAACGTGTGACACAGCGTAATGCCAAAGCCTCAACAGCAGGTACTTCAACTGCAAAGCCTCATATATGTGTATGCTTATGTATCTACATGCTCATTCAGGTATAAAATATATATGAAGAGATCCTTCCAAACTTCATCTAAGGAAGCCAAGTCTGTTACTGGAATGCTGAACAGCCACGTTGTAGCACGGAGGCAGCTGTCAGCCTTCTTTTAAAGCTGGGGAAAAAAGGGTGACCTGTGAAGTATCCCACAGGCAACTTCAGGAACAAAATGCATCCTTCTGGTGCCTAAGGCAATCAAAGAGGAACACAAAAGTCATCCCATCCTTCCCGCATATCCTCCCTTAGGGTACAGCCCAGAGTCACAGCAGCTTCGGTAACGCTCCCTCTCAGCCAAGGGAGCTTTACAGGTGTGTAAGCAGACAGATCCGTGCATCAAGAATATACCCACACAGCTGTGGGATGGTTCACACTTCTTGTTCGCACAGGTCTTGCCAAATTTGCACCTTAGATTTATCCAATATCAGCAACAATTGCAGTCGGATCACAGATGATACCTGCTCAGCTGCATAACCTCCGAGGTTGTGCCTGCAGCAGCGTGTGCTGATTTTAAGATGGCACCAGTTACTCCTTGAGAAGGAGGACCAGAGGACCAGAGCCCACACAGCAAGAAAGAAACAAGCTGAGCATCAGCCCCTCCAATAACCCCTCCACAACCGCCAGATGACACAGGGACACAAGGTAAAACAAAATGTGAGACTGAAGGCCACTACCTGAGTAAAACGGCCATGGTGTTCAAGGGGGAGCCCCAGTCACCCCTGTCCTGCTCCAGTCCCTCCTGGTCACGCTTCACAAGCCTGTTCTCCTGAAAATAAGCATAGCTTGAAGACTGCCTATCCCTATAGCTCCCCCGTTGAAATCCAAGCCTTGCGTTGACAACAGAAGAGTTAGGTAAAAGTAACTGTGACAAGATGCTGTGCTATGTCCCACTGCAGCACTTGTTTTCAGTAATTACACAGGAGAGACTTGTTTGCCAGAGACTCCAATGCTTTGTGGAGAGAGGCAATACCATTTTATCTAACACTATCTGCCTTTATTTTTTAACCAGTCATTCAATTTGCAGCAGCATCAAACAGGGCCCCAAAGAGCTCAGCCTGCAGTGCACGTTCTGGAGAACTTAACGGAGCTGAATGGACAGAAAGGGAAACAGGGCCTCAGATTAACCAGGCCAGAAGAAAGCTGGGGACAAACTTGTGCCTCTTTTCCTGTTCTTCCATTCTACCTACCAGGGCACGCTGCCTGCGTCACTAGCTTGATTTCAGTGTCCTCATTCGGAGGCCCCAAAACATTTACTCTTGGACAAGATCTAAAAGTCATGTTGTCCCTCCCCAGGCCTGTCCCAGCTCCCACAGAGCAAGGTGGCTGTTGCACTGGCTACATCTCTCAGCTCTAAAATACCCACCTGCCCTTCTAATGCAACTGCATCTTTTCCATCCTTTCCTCCTGTGGCACCAGGATCTCCGAACCAAAAGCATAGAAGTCAAGAGGGCTTTCAGAGAAAATGAGGGCTAGAATTAAATACTGCTAGTTTGGTTTCCTGACAAAGCAAGGCACCTGCAGCTCAGCTGGGCTCCCCCTCAAGAGGCTACTTTTCCTTAATACAAAAAGGAAATTCTTCCTCTCAAATGAGGCAACACTTCTACTCCCTCCAAGTACCATCTACATAATCATCCACATCAGCAGGACAGGACTAGGGTCTCCTCTGCTAGCAAGAAGATGGGCATGTTCATACATCGTCCTTTGGCCTCTGAGTCATACCTCCCCTCACTCCGCTTTTATTAGTCACAGCTCTGCTCTAGCCCTGTCTCTAAGCCAAATGGGACTGCAAATAACACCATTTTCATTCTCCACCACCCCAGAAAAGATGAAGCAACTTACTGCTTAAGTCCTTAAGCCTAGACACATCACGTAAATGAAAAACTAAGATTCGAATTAAAATACATGGCTAGGAGGAGGCAAAGAAGAACAAACATTTTATGTACAGCCAGGGTGTGCTCTAGATCATTCCAGGCGATTTTTCCTCCAGCCCAGAGTTCAAGGGCTGTTGGAGAAACTTCAGTGGGCTGTAAAAACTGAACAGTCATCTCTGCTGCAAGTTAGCTTCTGAAACAGAGCAAAATTAATTTTCCCCCCCCTTATCTTCAGAGGGTTGATAAATGCAAAAATCAGAATTAGACAAAGACAAAATGAGAAAGACCTTTCAGGATTTTGCGTCAGAGCTAAGCAAAAAGACCTGTTGCTATAGAAACTATTTGCATGGCTTTAATGTGACACAGGAAGGCAAAAGCACCTCTGGCAACCAAAGAAGCTAGAATCCACCCGGCAGCTGGCTCAGCAGGTGAAGGGAATGAGGACTGGCAGCACTCTGCAGAGCAGCACCACATCAGCTTCACAGCCCTTCAGATGTCCCATTTTTACTACGCCTGCGAGACAGAAGGCTGAAGCGATGTAGGTTGTTCTCACTATGAGACAAAATACTTCCCCATGGTGTTAAATTGCCCCACTGCTCCTCTTCAGAGGAGTCAGACGGAGGATTGTTCAGTGTCAAGAGGATGAAGGCAGTCTCAGAGATTCCCTGACACTATTCCCTTGAGCTCCTCTACCCTGGCAGAAGCACAAGGTTCTCCTGATACCCATTACACAGCTCCAGACTGTCCTCAGTGATAGCCCCTGTGCTCTCCATGGTGACCCATAAGTCCTGTAAATCACAGCAGCTGAGGCCATCGTGGAAACGGGTTCAGGCCAAGGGAAGCAGACATCCTATGAAGGCGGTGAGGCAACCCACACCATACCAATGCCCACGAGCTTGAACAAACTGAAGTACAGGCTGAGGCCAGGTACCCAGGAACACAGACTGAGTTACACCAAAACCAATGGCAGGTGGCCTTGCACAAGCTAGGAACAGGTCATGGTTTGGAGGACACTCCAGAACAGCACAGCCATGAGCCAGAGACCAAAGGCTAACCATCCATTAAGGCAGAATCAGCTGGGGTATGGAGCCA